ATGGCTGAAGCACTAGGCCATATGCTGGCCCATGCCTTATGCTTTCCGCATTTACTTCCCTGGCATCCTGCATTTGCCTATGGAAAGATTATGCTGTATTTATCAGTAACTCAATGTCCTCTTTAATTACTTAAATCCCTGTTCGGTCAGGAATTGATCGGATTGTATTGTACATATAAATTCCAACCATAATCTATTTGAATTTCATCACATCTTTGCTTTATATGTATTCATATGCGTATGGAAAAATTATTCTTATAACTTAAAAAAAACATTCTGTATCCTGTGTTGTGACCTGTTTTGTCCAGACAAGATAATATTATGTAGCTAAAACAAGTTACAAAAGGTAATTGCACTATTGTTACAATATTCTTTTATTGCTTATTATTCTACTGTATTAATAATCCCAAAACTAATTTAAACAATTTCTTTTTCTGTTAATAGACATTTTAATCAGTTTAAACAATTTTATTTGAAAGGCAGAGTCTCTCTCTCTCTCTATCACACACACACGGTGGGGCAAGGAGTGGAGAGAAATAGAGAAGTCTTCCTTCTGTAGGCTCATCCCCAAGTGACATAAATGGCTGGGTTTGGGGCAGGCCAAAGCCAGAAGCCTAGAACTGAATTTGGGTTTCCCATATGGGTGTCAGGGGCCAAGCTTGGCCTGTCGTCTGCTGCTTCCTCAGGCACATTCATGGCAAACTGGATTAGAAGTGCAACAGCCAGGACTTCAGCCAGTGCCTGCATAAGAGGTGCTGGCACCACAAGTGGTGGTTTAACTCCATGCACCACAATGCCAACCCTTACATCATTTGAATGTTTTAAATGATATCAAACACTTTCACAAGTGTTCTGTAGTTAGTTTTGTATACTTGCTTCATTCTTTTCCCACTAAACTTTCTTTGAAACACCTGAGTCAAAAAAAATTAGAAAAAAATGTTGATCTATATATTTGAAAGGCTGAGTTTACAGAGAAAGAGCATGTGAGACAAAGAGAGACTGCCCCGCCTACTAGTTCGCTCTCTGCCCATGTGAAGCCCGGAGCCAGGAGGTTCTTCTCCGTGCTGGTGCAGCAACCCAAGCATCAGGCCATCCTCAGCTTCTTTCCCAGGTGCCCAAGCAGGGAGCTGGGTCCAAAGGGGGGCAATAGGACATGAATTGATGCCCAGGAGGGATGCAAGCAACGCGGACAGTGGCTTTACCGGCTATGCCGCAATGCAGGCCCCAAGAACTGATATTTTAAACTCTTTTGAAAGGTATTGCTAGATTATGTTTGTGCAGGCTATATGGATTCACAGTCCTTTGAGAAGTTGCTCAGTGTTATCAGACAAAATTGAAACTGTCAATACCTTTTTTTAGGAAGATAGCATCAGAGATTTGAAAGGCAGGTGGGAGAGCAGACAGGGCTGGGCCAAGTTGGCAGGGCCAAAAAGTGAGTGCACGCTCAGCCTCAGAACTAACTTCAGAGTGGCAGAGGGCACAGTCCTCCTAAACTGTTTATGAACTCGAGAGGTTCCTGAACTTTTTGGAAAAGTTTTTCTTCTAACACTTGCACCTTGTAATATTATGATCACAGGAATGCCATGACACAAGGACACAGACCCTCTCTCTTAACCATTACTCCTCAACACACAAATTCCCCAAATCTCCTTTGCTAATGTATCCTAGGTGTAATGAGGCCATTTAGAAGATGGTGGTTAAGAATTCATTTCGCTTTTGGCCAAAAGTGATTTTTATGGAATTCACTAGAGATTCTACTATAAAAGAATCCTTTCCTCAGTGTGAAGAAAATTGGGCAGTTATGACTTTGGAGTGAATTATCTGCAGAGGTAACAGCAAAGAAAGCTGGTGTCTGCTAGCATCACCATTATAGGGCTGTCTAAATGCCAAATGCCTCCTCCATCTACCTGGGATTTTGCTTGCTTGCTATCTCTTGGGCCAGGCTGGAATTGTACTTTATTGGAAAAGGAAAAATGCCAATCAAAACATACATAATATGGAGAAATGTTTCTGTCTTAATTAACGGCTCTGTTTAATCTTCCTAATGTTTACACACACACACACACACATTTGATGAAGAGGTGTATAAGAATGTTTGGCTCCAATCTTGACCTGGAAATTGCAGGAGAAAGGAGAAGGGAAAAGGGTGTTGATCAACAATTGGAAGATTTCACTGGCAGAAACAGCTGTGTATGTGCAAGACAAAGCACCGCAGGTTGTCACGGGGTAAGGCTCAGAGCAGCTGAGGAGAGCTCGTAGGGATTCATTCCTACTCCAAGGCACCCGATGTTCTCCAAAGGCGTTTCTCCGGGATTCACTGAGATGCAGTCACCAGTGTCTCTGACCTGGTTCAGCCCTTACTGCAAGGACCATGCCTGCAAGATGCGCCCAGAGGTGTCCAAAGGTCACTATTTGTTTCAAGTTAATTTTAAGATCTTCACTCCGAGAAGACCTTATGCCTTCTTGCCATCCTATGTGATAGGTGTTGGAGCATAGTTATATGCTTGTGCCCATCCCTACATGTGACAACAAAAACTCTTCCACTCGCATCTCCTCTTGTTAGGGATGCCACTGGTTGGAAATGATTTCTTGTGGTCTTCTTATCTGCCTGTAAATACGTTACTTGTAGTGGCAATTCTTTCTGGTGAATTTCTTGATTGGATTCACCAAGAAGTGGGCCTGGCAAAAGGAGGCACAATGCAGAGGAAAACAGGACATAGATATTATTCCTATTTGTCACCTTTCATGAGCTCTTCTCTCCAACAATGAGAAAAAAAGAAGTCTCTGTGCTGGTGCTGATGCAGAGTAACACAATTACTCACCTTGCAATGTCTTTCCAGGCCAGAGCATCAATCCATATCCAGCATGAATATCTGGGCAGATGCTTACATTTTGACAAACACCGCTTGACTGCTTCAACTTGCTAGCATGGTGGTCACTGCTGTATTCTTTGGGAAATGATGAGCTGGTTATACAGCTGCACTTACTGCTTTTAGGTACTGTGTCAAGCATGTGTCAGATCTGGCATTACTCACTTTTCACCAGGACACGATGACCAGTGCAGAAATGGCCAGCAATAGCATGTGTGCTCGAAGATTGGTTTGACGTATTATGTTTCAGAGGGCATCACTTCCCTCAAACTTGGTTGCCAGGGTGATGTGCGATCTCTTTCTTTAAAAATGTTCTGTAAGCTGTGAAGCCGGAGAATGAAGCTAAAGCCAGTGGGACTTTGAAACAGAGGACCACAAGGTCAATTCTAAAGGATAATTGTGAGAAGCAACACAAGAGTAATACTTAATGCTCTTTTTCCTACAAACATACAAAAATATCCACATCAAACAAGAGACCTTCTGAAAGGCAAATGATTTATCTATGAAATGCTGAATTAATACTTAATGTTCAGTAATTGTGTACTTAATTGAAATACTAGATATATTACTCATTGTGGGTGATTCAGAAGTGGAGCAGCCAGGACACTAACTAGTGTCCCATATGGGGCACGCCAAAGGATGAAGCATTAGCCTATTGAACCACGGCACTGACACTCCAGAGGATATTATTAAGAAATACGTTCACAAGGTGGAAAGAAGTAGAAATCCTCAGATAAAATTGAGAGAAGGCAAGCAAAAGCACAAGTAGACCAAGTTGCTTCACCGACCCCACCCCCAGCAGGAGGCCATCCTAACTCCCCGTGTGCAGACATCATGTATGCCGAGGAGGGGGCAGAACAACGTCCCCAGAGAGACTTGCCAGGATTGCCCGTTGCTTGCAAACTGCAGTGGTTCTGTGTGTTTGTTTTGCTCTGTTATTTCCTTAATTACAAACGGAAATCAGTAGAGGGGCTATTTCATTTGGCAATGGGAAGCCAAGACAAAAATGGTGTTTTACACACATGGACCATACCTATAAACAATCTTTTTCAGAGACTCAGTTTAAGAAAGACTGGCTAAAATCAACAAATAGACAAAATGCTCCCAAAATTCAAAGAAACTGACGTCCAACTTACTAAGATCATGTATGAGCCTACATGTGCATGTCGCATTAAAACATCATGAAGTAATCTTTCTATATTTTGACCAAAATGTTAACTAACTTCATTACTGTTCGTAGACGATTTAGAATTGAATAGCTAAATAATTTAAACACATATAATGAATAATGCATCATCGTCCAATTATTTATTTGCTAGTATTCATGAATAATACTAGTGTAATAATATAGGGAAATCAGTTGTGAGGGAGGGGAGACTTGGGAATAGGGTATGGGAAATCCCAGAATCTATGGAAATGTATCATAAAATAATGATAATTTTAAAATGGGAAGAAAAAAAACAATCAGAAAATCCAGATAGGATGTCGCAGTGGTATATGAAAGCAACTTTTATTGGCTAGTGTTTGCAATTGTAGTTTAAGTTTGGAAAACACTGAATATCTATTTTTATTTGGTAAAATTTGTATCATTAACATAGTGGAGTCAAACTAACAATTTCAACCAATTTTGAAAAAAAAAATGTTTTTCTGTAAGATTTTCCAAATGACACCCACTGTTTAAAAACACGATCATGATACAAGTGACATCTGTCAAACAGCTATGATTTTCTGGACCTGCTAAATGCTTCCTGTATCTACAGAGGCGAACTGTTGGCAGATCTATAGAGCAGACATGAAGACAGATAACAAAATTTCCTCAAATTTTTGAACAAATTACTAAGCTTGTTTAGAGACAATTTTTTATTTTACACAAAAAGTACAGTACAAGTCATCTGCAGACAAGACAATCTGAGATGAAAATTCAAAGTTTCATTTTAACATCGGATTCCAGACTGATTTTGTACAAATTAATCATAAAACAGCACATCATCTCCCACATATTAGGAATTCACATTCAAATCTAGAACTGCCACATAAATTCTACAGGTTAACAAACTTTGTTTATTTTATAAATCTGGTTGTCACAAATCTATTTTGTATATTCCCCACAGCTGTGTTTTTCCACGAGAATTATGACATATGAAGACAGTGTATGAGGGACATTAAGTCAGCTTTGATCCCATTATTAAGAAAGCCATACAGAATCGGATTGAGACAACAGGACAGCATCCCTAACAGGTGGCAGATGCAGTACACCAGCTTGAAGTGTCTGTTGGAGATGAGGTTGTCGTTAAAGTCAGTGACCACATGGAACAGGTGCAGCGGCATCCAGCTCACCGCAAACACCAGGATCAACACGGTCAGTCTGTAGAAAACGCTGCGAGACCTCTTCTTGATTCTCATGATGGAGCGTTTTACTCTCATCTCATGAGCGTTGGCATCTTCCTCAGCTTTCACCTCAAAGCACGTTGGGACCCCTGGTATGAACTTACTGGATGAGGAGGGCTGAGTCCTCACAGAGCTCAAGTTTTCAGGCAGCGTCCTCAAATGCTTCTCCTGCGGAGGCCTGGCTGGAGCAGGCAACACACACGCTGTCTTCTTGCTGTATCTCCTTCTATGTTTTCTAATGAATGAATAGCTCCATGTATGGCTCCTGGAGTGTTTCACGTCGGGCCCGCCACTCTTCCGGGATGGCTGAAGAGTCAAGTTGATCATCTGGTTTTCTTCTAGCCTGTTTTCTTTGTTGGACAATCCACAGCTGATACTCCTGCACACGCTGGTATGACTGACAGTGAGACAGACTAGAGGCAGAATGTACTGAACCAGCAGCAGAGAGATGGTAAAAGCAATTCGGTAGGAATCCGATGGCCACGCCTCAATGCACAAATGCCTGCTGCTGAGCAACGTGGAGCCGAATGTTTCCTGGAGTTCCACGAGACTGTGGAACACTGGCAGGGGAGAACAGATAGCAAAACCTAGTGTCCAGACAGTGGCTATCAGGAAGTAGCCATGGTTGGCCGTTAAATTATTGGAGATGGGATGTTTTATCATATGATACCTGACAATGGCAATCGATATTAAAATTAAAGTGGACACCAGAACCGAGACACACTGAAGGAAAGGCATGATGTGGCACATGACTTTCCCAAACATCCACTGATCCAGCAAGACGGAAGTCAGCGTGAAAGGGGAACAAAACAGCACGACCAGGATGTCCGAGAAGGCCAGGTTTCCTATGAGGAAGTTTACTGTCGTCTTCCGATGACGCTTTTTCATGAGCGCCATTAAGATAAGTAGGTTCCCCAGAAAGCCAAGGAGACTTACAAATGTATAGAGCCCAATCAGAAAATACTGCAGATCATCCACGCTGCTTTTATAGTCATCCCAGACTGGGAAGTCAGAATTCCGGGTAGTAGCAGTATTGTTCTCCGTGGCAGGTGTCTTGTTAGAAAACTCCTTGAGCTCTAAATCCATATTATAGCCCTGCCTGAAATAATGAGACACTCATTAGCAAGTTGCCAAATAACTTGCTCCATTCAGATTTTAATAATTTGTTACTAATTATTTTATTAGTCTCCAAAAGAAGCAAACTCTTGAATTCATTCCAACTGTTGTGTAAACACTGGTCGATGAAAATCAAAAGAAGTTAAAACCCATCATCACTTCAGCACTGTGTTAATTTCTGCAAACTTCGTTTTAAAATTCAGAATGGACAGAATACAAAGAAATGAAAATGCAAATGTGACTAACATCTTCGAGAGAAATGGCTTATGATAGTCGTTTCCTATTGCCCTCTAGCCAGGTGACCTAGCCTAAGCAGACTGCCTAACCTCACCTTTAGAATCACTTCCTGCCTGAAGGAAGCCCGCTGGGACGACGAGAGGCCTGACCAGACGATGGGTGAATGATCTAAGCACGTGTTCCTGACTACCAGGATGCACTCCTCCTTCTGTAAGGTGGACAACTGCATTGCTGATAGACTGACTAGCAAGTTGTCTGTTTCCCTAATACTTTTTCTAACATTCATTTATTAGTTTTATTTTAATACGACAATGCAGTCAACTTTCTGCTGCTCTCCCTGTGGTCCCATCTCACTCATCTACCACTCAAACATTTACATAGGTAACACCTAACACGGTGCTTGGCAAAACAAAACAAAACAAACAAACAAAAAACCACATAACATTCTGAAACTCGGTTCTGATTCACAAGTTCTAACATTAGCCATACTGTCCAAAAGGACTTAAGTCTCCTGTACTACAGCTGAAAATCCACGGCAGAAGAACTGCTGCAGGAAAGAAACACAGAAGAGTTCTTTCCTTAAATGTACCTGTTCTTACACAACACACTAAGCAAACCTTCAAGAGAACACACTTGGATCACAGCAGTGGGCTTTTCAACAAGCGTCACGAGGAATGCTCTGTGAGCGTGCGTGGCAAGTATTGCACGTACAATAGATGTAACATCATGTATGAAACGTACTTCACCTCCGATTACTACAGAAACTGGGAACTAGAACCCAAGAGAGAGTGCTTGAAAAATGAGGTATGATTCATCGAGCAAGCTCATGTTTGGGGTATGAGCTTCAGTGCTATTTTGTCTTCTTTCATTTTGTTCACTTCTGTATCTCTCACCAGACTAAAACACTGAACTTCAACTCTCTCAGGATAAGGTGAGAAAACTAAAGTTCTTCATTAAACTACAAAAAAGCAGTATCTTTATATAAAGATTTATTTTACTTTTATTTTTAACTGACCTGACACCTCAACAATGAAACATTGTGAATAGTATTTTTAGGAAACAGATAGTTCTTGAATACTGGTAAAAAAAAAAAATTACAGGGAATTGGAAGGACACTCACAGACTGACACATTTAAATAAGATTTCTAGCATAATTTGCCGCCTTATGAAAACACACAGCATACTTCTCACAAAGGCTGCCAATTATACAAAAGAACGTGTGTGTGTGTGTGTCCTTTTAGCAATCAATTCATGCCTATTTTGCTTTGATTCCAGAACAGTGGAGATTCCGTGTTCCTAAATATTCCTTGATTTGTTCCAAAGTCAGAAATCTGGCACCTCTGAGCAGGAAAGATCCATATAGCTCGCTTCAGCTGACAAACGCGCAGGCCTCTCCCCTCTCCCTCCTCAATTCCAGGAGCAGTTTGCCTTGCTTTGACAAACGTGAAACCCAGATTTGCGTTACAAGCGGCAGCAGTCGGTTGCAGAGCCTCGAGCTGTTTCCACGCGCCTCTGGCTTCCTTCCAAGGCACATGCCTTAGCTCCTTTAAAAGATTACCTAGAGCTCAGTGAGACTGAGGCTCACGAATTTGCGGTGGAGGTGTGGGGGAGTGCTCCCCACTTACACCTGTCCTAGGAGGCCAGCCTGCCAAGCGGAGGGCGCACCAGGTCCGGGACAGCGCGAGGGGCCTCTCGGGGGGGGGGGGGGGCCCTAGACCCTGAAGGGGCTGAGCGCTGGCCGGGGCGCCCCGCGCCGGACTCCCGCTGCCTGGGACGCCCAGGGCCACCGGCGTTGCTTTGTGCACTGGCCCTCCCCAGCTTCCCAATCAGGCTCCTGCGCGCACCCGGGACAGTCTCCGTTCCCAGTCCGGCCCTACCTCCTCCTCCTCCCGGTCCGAACCTGCTCCTCCACCCTGGGTGACCTGAGGATAAAGGGAGCTGCCCAACTGCGAGGAATTCAAACACTTCCCTTCCTCTCCCTCGTCTCGCGCCTCACCTGGGCCGGTCCCACCGCCCTAACCCCCGTTTTCCCAGCTACCCTGTCCTTGGCTTTTCCATTCCGCGCCCTGGGGAACCCCGACAACGCCCGAACCCGAGGACCGGGCCCCGGGAGCACCCACGCGGACTCACCTCCCGCGCTGGGGTCGATCCCACCCAGCCCAGGGGGCAGCGGTGAGGAGAAGGGGCTGCAGCCAGTACCTCGGGGCGCCCCGGCCGCTGCGGGCGCGTCGGCTCCCAGGAACTCGCCCAGCGGTGGCTTCTGCGCCCAGGAGGCGGCGAAGGCGGCAGGAGCAGGACCCGGAGGTGGTGGCGGGGAGCCGCAGGGTTTTAGAGGCGCCTTGGGAACACGTGACAGCTCCCGGGACCCCCGAGACCTGCCAGGGCGCCTGCTCCGCGCCAGCCTCTCCCTGGGCTGCGGGGCCTGGGACTTCCCAGTTCCTGGCTGGCTGTTTGGGGACTGTGGAGAGATGCTGTGGGGTCGGGATGCTGCCCGGCAGCCCGGTCTCGGGACTCAGGTTGAGCAAGTTAACTTGACCGCGAGCACCTTTGTGAGGGTCCTGCCCTCCAGCCCTGGGTGATGACCTCAGTCTAGAGCTGTTGTGGGGGCTGGGGAGATCGCTGAGCGCGCTTGGCCAGCCGGGGAAAAGCTTCCAGGCCTGAATTTATCTCTTTATTGGGGGTGGGGGAACCACTAACACAAACACCTCCCCCCAAACAAAGCACAACGGCGTCCTCTCTCGCACCTCTGAAGTAAGGCAGTGGTGTAGGCGGGCAAGTGGGTGTGAGCGCGCAGGGATGCGAGGGTGTAGGCGGGGGCGCAGCGCGCAGGGCAGTGGGTGTGGGCGCAGTAGCGTGGGACTGGGGAGCGAGGATGGAGGGCAGTCAGCGCTCCTCAAGGCTATGTTCAGTAGCAAAGACTAGGAGAGGGACACAGAGCTGGCATCTGCTGAAAACACACACACACACACACACACACACACACACACACACACACTCCTCCTGCTCTTCTTCAGCGCGATTTCCATCTTCAGTGTTACCCCATCTGCATTATGCGAGTTTGCTTAATTTTAGTTAATCATTAAATGGCAGTTACTTGAGGCTGTGTGTGTGTGTGTGTGTGTGTGTGTGTGTATGAGAGAGAGAGAGAGAGAGAGAGAGAGAGAATCTACTGAATACTCTAAGATGAAAACGATTGAGTGACAGCAGTCACATCACCAAGGAGGGTAACCCCCCCACCCCCCGTACTGGTGCTGTGCTAGTAACTCGGAAGCCTGTCCTATGGGCGCACAAGACCTGGGAGGCCCATCCCCGGGACAGAGTTTCGGCTGTTACCCTAGAAGCCAAGTTTCTGTGCTCCCTTTCTGCTAATGTAGTCTTCGGCAGAGAGATACGCCCAGCGTGTCTCGTCACCCAGCCGAGTCAGGGGAGAACTTGGAGACACCGAAGGTAGATAGTGTCTGTTTGATCCTTCTGTGTGTTGTGTTTGAACTGCTGGTATGTTCTGCACAGAAGCTTAAGAGGCTAGGCTAGGCAGGCCCCTGGGATTCGGCAGTGGGGAAGGGATGAACAGAAGGGTCCAGAGGGAATGGCCTTGAGAAACCAACGGCTTACTTCTTCAGACTTTCTCCACTCTAATCTTTGGACAAACAGTGGACTGGACTCTGTCATACACATCTGTACCCTCCCACGCTTTGCAGAGTCACAATACACACCCTCAACGTTTTCCAAAGGAACCCCGGCACGACTATCTTCCAAATACCAGTTTGTAACCTATTAAAACCTATCAAAAATGTAAGGTTAATTTTATTATTATTCTTTTTTTTTACGATTTTTTTTTCTTCTTTGGAGGATACAAAGCCTAGGTTGAAGTAACTGTTGTTAACAGAAAACTGAAAATAAAAATTACCACGTTACTGAAACAAGACCACATCCATTTTACTTCCCACTATGCCCCCAAACACAGATGCCTATAAAGAAATTCATGGGGCCATGACTGTGGCAGAGTAGGTTAATCATCAGCCTGCAGTGCCAGCACGCCCCATGGGTGCCAGTTCAAGTCCTGGCTGCTCCACTTTGAACCCAGCTGCCTGGTTAAGGCTTGGGAAAACAGAGAAAGACAGCTCAAGTCCTTGGGCTCCTGCACCCATGTGGGAGATCTGGAAGAAACTTTGGGCTCTTGACTTTGGGTCAGCACAGCTTTGGCCATTGCAGCCATTTGGAGAGTGAACCAACAGACAGAAGATCTCTCTCTCTCTCCCTCTGTCTCTTTCTCTCTGCCTCTCTCACCCCAAAATTCAGAATTTCAATTTAAATAAAATAAAAAATTTTAAATACTCCTTTTGCAATATACATTGGGAGAATTTTAAGGATATATGAAGTGAGCCAATTGTTAAGAACCCTTTGTTTTGAAGACACGGTCCATTTGAAGTGTCCGGCTGCATAAAGCAGACAGCAGAGATCGGGAGGACTTTACTCCCACCTTCCTGGGAGGGGCTTGGCAGGCCCACCATTCTCTGCCCCCTCAGCATGCCACATCATCGTGTTTCTCTTGTGTGGAGCACCAGTCAAGCAGGATGAGTACCGCCCTGGGATCAGAAATAGTAAGGTCCGCCTCGGGGCCAGCTAGCTTTCCTCCTCACCATTCATAACATGCTCATTTGGGAAATTAAGTTGGATTTTATACGTGTTACAATATTAAGCTCATTATTTGCCAGTTTTCATGATTTGGTATCATTTATGAAAGGAAATGTATCAGT